GCGTGTCCTTTCTTGTGTAATAAAGAAATGTGTTTTCTTCAAGTTAGAGAGTTACACGGCCTCTCACACAGGTGTGTCCATGCCCGTGTAACTTACTAGTCACTTAAAATTCACCATTTTTATGCCATACTTGCTCAGCTTCCATTCCTTTCACCAAGATAAAGTGATAAATGGTTAATTAAGCTCAAATAGATAGAAAATATAAGTAGAAAAGTATACTTTAAGAAAATGAAAATTTACTATACATACTAATAATTATGCAATCCAAGTGTGTAACGATTTAACAATTAGAATTACTAAAGGAAAGAAAAGGAAAGTATTTGCACACATAATTAAACTCACGACTCAACCAATACCATTTGTCGATGTTTCATTCTAACGAGGGGACCATGATGATAAGAGGTATGAGTATACTCGGAACCTAGTGTGGGTTGGACCTATGAAAATATATGGAATTGAATCCTGTATAGGTTATTTCTCTTTAATATGGTATGCATCATATCACGTGCATCATGTGTATTATGGGGCAAATGGAGAAAAGTTACTTGATTGAGAATTGGTTGATGTGATTAGGTTCGATATCCTAACAAGAATAAATGGGTATTAGCAGTTCATTCGTGTACCTGGTCTATGATGTGATTCGAAAAAGCATTGCATATCACATGATCACCCCACTTACCGAGCTTCGGCTCAACTCATTGTTATTTTTATGTTGTGACGGGAAAAGAAAAAAATAGTAAGGATGCGGTCGGATCCTCCTAAGAGGCTCATGTGTAACGTGGAATACCGAAACTTGTATTGTTTGTAATTTAAGGGTATGAAATCTATAAGGAATTAACCGTTATTTGAAATATTTGTTATGGTAATTAGTTGTGTCATGTAAAAATTTATTATATGTATTTTTGTTATGTGATGTGCTAGTAATTTTTTTAAGTACACCATACGGGAAATGATTACGAGTTTAGGTAGTAGCGACGTGACGTGCTCGGCCTAGCCACTCCTATTTGGGTAATAGAGAGTGAACTAGGGTGGGAGCGTCACAACTTTCATATAAATATCATTTCAAATGAACAAATAAACTATAATCACATTTATTAAATACATGCAGATGAACTTTTTTCATATATTTTGTCAGGCTAATGAGATAACAAAATATAATTGCATCCATTATAGGAGAATATGTATCATCATAGTTAATGTCAATTCTTTGACAAAAATCTTGTATTAAAAGTTTTGCTTTGTATCTTACAATCTCATCTTTCTTATTTTGTTTTCACATAAATACACATTTGTATCCCATTAGCTTAATAGCTTCGGGTGTTTTAATTATAGGTTCAAAAAACTATTTATTTGTAAGAAAACATAATTCTGCTTGGAATGCTTTTTTTTCATTTAGGCCTTTATGTTGACATTCTTCAATAAATTTAGGTTCAAGGTCCTTATTTTCATTCAAAATATCAACTGAAACATTATATGCAAAAATCTTATCGATAAATGTTTCTTTCGATCTTATTTTCTCCCTATATTGACATAATTTATCAAAGTCTCTTGATTTTTCTCAAGCATTTGGACTTCTTCTAGAAGCTATTATTAGAAATATCTTGGACCGTTTTATGAATATTTGTATCATTTATTTTAATTATTTTTCCTTTTCTTTTGGGAATTTTTGCTTTTAGAACCGATAGGTCTTCTACACTTTAGGCATGCTATAAATTTATTAGTTATAACATTAATAGATTATCCTTCTAGGACATCAATTCTAATAAAAAGCATTCTCAACAAGTACATACATTTTAGTTACTCTTTTAAGATCCGAGAATGCATCTAGCAGTTGGTTTATAATACCTTGTAAACGAATTATCTTCTAAACTTCTAATTCACATTCTTTTGTACCAAGTTGATATAAAGATAGAGTACTCTACGTAATCTCTTTTTTCAATATTTTCAGCTACTTATTTTGTTTATTCTCTCCTCCTAATGTTGAAAAAACTATTTTATCCGAATAACGAGTTGATAAATCACGCTGTAAAAATATCTCTTATTCATGGTTCAAGATATTTAATTATCGAAAAGGATTTAATTTCAACATATATTTTCAATCTCCTTTAAGTGCTCATTTTAGTTTGTTATGGAGGAGCACTACAAATATATACTGCAATATTAAAAATTCTTAAATAAAAAATATTTGGCTCATGACCATAAACTAATTGAAAAGAAGGGAGAATTTTTGATAACTTATGGGTTTGATGCGAATAAGTATTGATATATGTAAGATTGTATGTCCCTAAACATAAACAGAGAGTTTTGTTTTTAAATAATGGTTTCGCTATCAATTGGAGCCTTTTGATAAATGATTTTGCTAAACCTTTCGAGTATGAACATGAGCAACAAGATGCTTAACCTTTATTCTAATAACCAATCAATAATCATTTAATGCTTAAAAGATAAATTCACCAATATTATCAAGGTGAATTGTTTTAATGGCATAATTTAGAAATTATGCTTGTAATTGAATTATTTGGGCTAGCAATCTTGAAAATGTCAAGTTTTGAAATATTTAAATGGTACACATGTTGGATCAATTGATCGACATATATCACTTTGAATACATTCTAAAAATATTAAAAATTCAATCTCAATTTTATTTATGATGGCTTTAATAATCAATTTGCCTTAAAAAGATGCGGAACATAAAAATTTATTAAATTGAGGAGTCTTCGGCTCTTCAATAGATAAATAGATATCTATATGAATTTTTAATAATTTTTTGCATCATGAAAGACTCGGGATAACACAACTTGTCATACCACATAATAAAAATATTTAAATTAGTAAACTTCGATTTACTATAGATTTTGTTTTAATCATTTCAATATTTATAATAAAAACTAGAAGAGAAAGCGAGTAAAATTTTCAATACATATTTTCTACATGTTATAATGATTATAATATATTAGTATTCACATTTGCGATCTTGATGTGATATCAATTTAGATGAATATCTTTGAAACTCAACAAATTTATATGAGACTTTAAAGAAAATAGTACATCATTTATAATAAAATTTATCATTTCAGATAATAACATATTTGCTTTTCTTGAGCCTTTAAATTATGTCACTCTTTAGAGCCTTTAAAAGTTATCTCTCGCAAATAATAATATATTTACTATTTTAGAGCTTCAAAAATTTGTTTCTTTAGGTCCTAATATAATCGCTCTTCTAGAACTTTCTATTAAAATTGATATTATCATATATGATATTAACATAAAATAAATATATAAATAAATAAATACAAAATAAATAAATTCTTCATAACCACAAATAAATAAATAGTAAAATAAATTTATCACTCTCTCTATGCAATAAAAATTATAAGAAAATATAAGGCATCTTTTTTTTTATATATATATACATATATACATAGAAAAGCTAACAAGTTATTAATTTCAATTACCTCCATTTTGATGTATAAAATTGGCTTCTATATTTTACTCTTTTCTTTTTCAACGAGATTTGATAAAGCTTAATGAGGTGTTTTTGTGTATAGTAGCTACACGACCAATTTCCTTTCATACTATATCTATAACATTCATTTTCAGAATACTAACTTTATCTATTTTTTATTCTTTTTTCTCATAGTTATCCACTTCTAGTAATAAGATGTAATATTATGGTCATCACGATTATAATGATAATTATTCGACCATATCGATGGTTATGACCACATCCGCGTCCATGTCTAAAATTATTACAAGTTGTCACATTCACTTCGGGGAATGGAATAGATCCAGTTGAACGAGATTTATTCTTTTTTATCAATAGCTTTTCATTTTATTTAGCCACGAGCAAGTATAAAATCGATTAAAAGTATTTCTTAAACTCTTTTTCTTTATATGCTACTACATGAGCATATTTAAGACATGAAGAGTAAAGAATATTTACTTAGCATTAAGCATTCATGATCAATAATTCTTGCCCAAAATGTCGAGGGCCACAAAATCAAGTTTCATGAGGTTTGATATCATAAAAATTCTATAATGCAAATTATAATAATAATATTAGGAAGTAAAAATATAGCAATGAAATTTAAATAAAAACAAGCATAATAATAAAATTTAAACTTTTCAAACAATATGTATTAGATCATTAAATTCTATATATTAAATTATTTAAGTTTTTCAAATATATATTTTATGTATCATTAGATTTAAAGTACATGATAAATTAGATATATACATCTTAATGATCTATATAATTTAAATCTTTTGATAGAGCACTTGTGTAGAAAATATCCAATAGTTGAAACAAATGATTAAGTTTTTTGATAAATACATACCTCATGGTCTATTATCTCAATTGGTTAGAGCTTCATGCTGATAACATGTTATGAAAGAAATAGTAATAATAGTATAATTGAGGAGAAAGATGATAGAAAAATAAATTCACTATAAAATAAAGTGAATACAAATTATAAGAACTCCAAATGATTCTTTCAATCTTTGCAAAATACTTATACATAAACTAATGAACAATCAAGCCTATTTATATGCTTCAAGATTAGAAAAAGAATTTGAAAGGACTATGAATCATTAAAAGATGTATAAATAATTAAATAAATTTTATCATCCTTTCAATTTCTTATATTAAATTATAAATTGAATCACATGAATAATGAATAATATGAAATAGATGTTCATTATTTTATAACACTTTGATAATATTCCGTTTAAAAAAATCTCTATCATTACTCGTCAGTGCATCAATCAGAAGGTACCATGCGTACAAAATGACACCTCACTATTCTCTACATTATCATCCATTTAAAAGCTGCCATATTTCAAAAGTACACCACACAGCCAATTATAATCATTCTTAGTATGACACTTCAATATTCTCTGCATTTTTATATGAACACAATAAAAATAAATAAATAAATAAAATGCATTTAAAATGTCAAAATAATTTATTTTCATTAAAATATTGTTAGTATCCTAGTAATTTAATTTTTTGAAGAAATATCCTGTAGTGATTGCTTTGCTCCAGTGAGATCTTTTTCTGCAAACAAATTTTTTGCTCCAGTGAGGTCTTTTTCTGTAAACAACATTTCATTTCTTGGCGGCCATTCGTTTTGAGATATAAACAAGATTTCATTTCTTGGCTGCCATTCGTTCTGAGATATAAGATTATCGTCAGTCATTACAACTACCTCGGCCAGATCGGCAAAGGCAGAGTCAATGACTATCTTCAGCTTGTCAATCTTCTCTATTTTCAGGTTTAGTTGGCTCTTAAGATGTTTCGTTTCCTTATCTTTCAAATATAATTCACGCTCAAGCTGTCGTATTTTCTCATCTTTCAATCGTATCTCCTGCTGAAGGGAATTTCTTTCTACTGAAATTTGGTCGTCTTGCTCTTCGTAAGAAAAAAACCTTTTAAACATAGCGTCCATTTCTCAAAAACCTGAAAAAAAAAATTTAATTGAAACAGGCAGTCCAGTTATAAAACAAGAAAATGTTACCAATTCCTAAAAGCAAATTATTTTTAGCTGTAATCAAGGAGAGTTCGAAATGGTTTCAAATTTTTGGGACACAAAAACAATCCTCAGTACATAGAAATCTATGTATTATTCTAAAATTAAACTATGACGCAAGCATTCCGTGGTATATTATGATATATTTTGTATTATTAATACTCTCGTTTCATCAAAAAAACATGGTTTTACTGGTTGTTGACCTTGACAGAAACATGAAAAAAAGGCCAAATAACAGACAGTCTTTGCATAACAATCATCTTATGGCCAGAGTCACTTGAGTAGCAGCTAGTTAACTGAAATGATAAATTATTATACTGAAAAAAAAAAAGACGGGGTAAATTCCTCACGAAGAACCAAATTCATGTAAAAATAACATCTAAAAATAGTCACTTACTTAGAGGTTGCGTTGAAGGCCCGGAGAATTCAAGAAACTACTCAAGAATAGCTAACCTCAGGCTTTCAACAGACTTGGCGAGGATTAGATGAAATTCGCATCAAGAAGTAAACACGTTGGAGAAAATTAACGACGAGATGTGCTAATTAATAACGACTATGCTAACTATTTTATGAAACTCACAGGGAGATGGAACAGAACCTCTTTCTTGGAAGCCCCTGCTGAAGTTTGTTCGAATTTGAAAGACTACGTACGCGGTAGGCGATAGGAAACCGCGTAATAAGTTGGTAGTTAGAGATGATACAGAATAATAATAATAATAATAGCATATTTCAATTCAATTTATTAAATATAGAATAAAGTCGCCGACGTATAGTATTTTTTACTCATTCTATTAAAAAATACCATATTACAAATTGCATGATAATTATCTTTTTTTTAAACTCGTGTTAGGAAGATATAGAGATGTACCTTAATGTTAGCTTGTTAAAAATATCTAATATAATTTATTTGAATAGTCTAAATTAATTGATAATAATTGGGCCAAAAGAGTTTGAGCCAATTGGCCTAATTTAAAAACCTACAAGACATTTTAATAGAAGTATAAGCTTGAACCCTATTGGATAAGGCTTAAAATTTATAAAGATAAAATCAAAAAGTCCACACATATTATAATTTTTTGTCCTTAGAGGACAAGGATGCCGCCCCTGCATAAATAGTAGGGAGGGGGACAACAAGGAGGACACAAAAAGAGAGACACACATTCTAAAAAAGAAAAAAAAAAAGGGAAAGAGAAAGTTTTTCTTTCTCCAAAAGCCTACGTTATCGTAAAAAAGCTAACCGATTTCTTTAGAAAGTAAATAAACTATACGAAGGATCGGAGTTAGCTCTCTATGATTTCTATGGCTTTCTTTGTGAGTGTTTAAGCTGCGTAAATTATCGATAAATGTTGAACACTTGAACGACTTCTTTCTTTTACAAAGGCTAAATCTCCGCTACGCGAGATAATTATTTACTCATGTTTTTAATACATGTGTATATGATTAGTTGATTGAACAATTTTAATCTTGAGAGCCTTAGATGGAGAAAAAAATTTTTTATGTTAGTTTGTACTTCCATTTGATTTTAAAAATGAATCAAATATATAAATCTTCTTAGCGTGATTTGATTTTTAAAAATACATGAATATACAAACTCTTTCCAAGTGAAGTAATCAAATGTACGATCCTTCTTAGGGAGAAAATCAATCAAATATACGAACCTTCTTGGGGGTGATTTGAGTTTAAAAAAGAAAATCAATCAAATATATGAACTCTCTAGGAGTGATTTGATTTTAGAAAAGTGAATTCATCAAATATACGAACCCTCCCGGGGTGAAAAAATATACGAATCATTTTGCGATATTGGACGATCTTCTTAAGAGAAAGATTGGTCATCTCAATATTATTGGATCCATATGTGAACGGATTTTAAGAAATTAATCTGATATTTAAAAAGGTTTTCTCTCTATTTTAACTTTTTAAATTTAGATTATATATATTCGTAAAATTAAAGATTTGAAGCATGTGCATTAAAGATATTTGGGGTTCAAACTAGCTACTTGCAAAATTATAAAAGAAAAACGTATATAAAAAAATTCATTGAAGTTATTTCTGATGTTAAAAGAACTAAAAAATGGTAAAAATCATTATTTTATCTACCAATCTGTTCAAACTTTTTTTTTTTAATTCAACATTAAAGTATTCTTAGACTAACTTGCAGATCAATTAAGATTAAGTTTTTTTTTTTTTTTTCACATTAAGGTATTCTCAGACCAACTTGTATGTCAACTAAAATCAAGTTTAAAAATCAATTTAGTATATTAAGGATTTAGTAAATTCTCTTGAACGCTTTCCCAAGGTTTGAGCCTAAGAAGCTAAAGAATGAACAAACCTCTTTAAGCCAGTAGTCCAATCTCTAAAGTTAAATCTGTTCAATTATTCAATTATATTATTGTTTTACAAATTTCATCGGTTACTACTATCATGGAGTTTGATTGTTGTTGTTGTTGTTGTTAATCGTAAGGGCAAAAAAGAAAAAGGAAAAGTAAAGGCAAAGCATGTATACGATGGGGTCCAGCTAAAAACAAAGCCCAACTTGTGGGCTAAGCTCTGGGCTCGGCCTCAGGCTTAAAAAGTACCGTATGGCGTATGGACATTAATATTCCAATCAACATCCTTTTAAGAAAATGGCCCCTATTTTTGTAGCAATTTGGCAATCGTCTTTATTAAGTAAAGAGATAGCCTCTGTTTCGCTCTCTCCGTTAATTTGCATTGAAAAATCAATTCCAGTTATGTTTCTGTTTTTGGTCAATTTCCTTCATAATTGGAAAAAAATATGGGCCAAATCACATATGGCCTTAAGTCTTGCCTCATTTCTCTACCTTCACAAGATTCAGAAGTAAGCAGAGACTTCAGGGCAAAACCAAAACCAACATCTGCGGCCTGCAGGAAAAAATAATATTTTTTATTGGCCATATGTATTAGGTCCTGCCTGCAGCACACACGATTATTGGTGAATATATAATAGCTTGTTTGAAGATGCATGCAAAGTTCAGCCATGTCCTCATCTTTTGGCCTTGATTTGGTAGGTACAATGACACAGTTGTTTGGAGCTGACGAAACCGAATGCTCGGTGATCATGCTGTGGACCTATTCCTTGGCCACAGTTGCGGTAACGCTTTGGTCTGCATTCTTCATGTGGTTCGTCAGGTAACTGTCACTTGCCTCTTTCTGGGAAATGCATTATTGCATTATACCTTAGGCCTTAGCATAGATATTTATTTAGTTTTGGCCAATACAAAGAACTACAATGCTATCATCATAGAGTATGTGCAAAATACTAACCATTGAAGTGGCTATACCGGGAAACCACCCGACACCACTAACAACAATATTTGTGCTTCATGCTTGCAAGATTTCAAAGGACACCATTATCATTTTTTCAACCCTCTCAAGAAAGTTTAACAACAAGTACAATCTATCTGTCAAAATCTCACGTTCATCAATAACACCGTATGTGAAAAAGTAGTTTCTGATTCATATTTCTCAGCTTTTACCGTTGATAATGGTGAATTCTTGCTCTACCTTGTCATACTTTTAGATCTCCACATAAAAATTCAGATATAGTTTTACAACATATACTTCACCCAAGTATCCATAACTCAAAGGAGGTAATACCTTTATTAATTCAAAAGATGAGAATATAGCCAGAGCAACCTCCACTGCAATACCCAGGAACCGATCTCTTGAAGCTTCTGCAATGTTCAATTTGTGTGGTTTCAAAGATGAGAATATTTTGTGTGCTACTGCCTTTGAAGCATACTTGGCGACAAGTACACACCAACTCCATAGATCAAATCCTCTCAAAAGTGATAGAAAATCAGAAAGAATATGAACACTGTTATTATCTTTCCACCTCACTCACGTCTGGATTATTGCCGACCACTGCATCTCCCCCTCTACTTGGATCCTCTAATTCCTGACTCTATCAAGGTTAATTTTAATTGTGCTTTCTCAGCCCACACTACGTCAAGATCAGTAGGTGTTGTAGTTAGACACTATATGTTCTGTAAAAAGTGTTTATTATCCTTTTATTCTAGATGCTCGCACCGTAGAAGCCTTGACTCTCAAAGAGGCTATCCTCTTCACAAAGTCATTTCAAGAGTCGGTGCTTATTGAAGGTGATGCCAAATCAATGATTGACGATGTCAATTAATCCAACTTATTCAATATCAGTAAAGTTCATTCCATCATTCAAGAGACTACTAAAAGAATCATCTCTCGCTCGTTAGTTTCTTTGCTGTTATTTCTTGTGATTGTAATTAGACTGCGCATAATGTAAAAAATAAAAATAAAAATAAAAACAAAAATAAACCCTTATAGATTGTGATTCTTGTGAGAACTCTGTTGTTTTTTTCAGTTGGATATGTGATCATTTAGAAGATCCCAACTTTTTCACTTAATAAATGAGATTGAACTATCTTTTGGAAAAAAGAAAAAACTCAAGTATATCAATAGAAAAATTAAGGATACAAGAATTATATTAACAGAAAGGTCAAGGAAAGTAACAAATTAAAAATGTAGTACGTGTATCCTAATCAAATGGGGGAAATGATAGCCCAATAATGTCCACTTCTCCATACTTTACTTTAACTTCCTTAAGTCCGTTGTAGGATGACGTCAAAGGAGGGTGCGATGAATTGAGATGAAAATAAGTAAAAATAACTGGAGTCGTCACCTAATTTTAAAGTCATTAGAAAACCCTAATATTGATATGTTCAAAATTTTAGATAAGAGGTTCATTACATGTAGGAAGATTAAAAATCACCCTACGTGGTCTTGCTAAGCCAATTACATTGCATACAAAACTGACTTGATTTTTTATTTATTTTTTTTATAATGAAAGACTATACCTATTTTTCAAATATTTATCCACTAGTCGAGTGATTTGAGACTTAGCTGGTCAGAGACCTTGTCCTTAT